TTATGACACGTGTCCCTCTGTCTATCCTAAGGGTATATACGTTCTAGAATATTGACGGTAAGGACATACACAACCCAAAAATATAACGAAGGGTATTGATGTACCATTTATGATAGTTCAGGGGTATATTTATCCTTTTTCCCTCCAAAAAATTACAAAAATCCTTCTTTTCCATAATGTGTCTCACTTTTCCGGATACATCACTCTAAACTATCACCTCAAGATTTATATTTCCTTTTTTCACGACTAAAATCACTCCATGGTATCACCAATTATCTCCATCACTCTATTTTTGAATTTCAAATATTTTCTCTTTCCGATTTATCAATTGCAAGTTATTGAAGAGGTAGTTCCTTTTCATCCATTTTTTCTTTCCACTTCATTAGGTATCAATTTTTTTAGTTTTTTAATCTACAAATTAGTCGAAGAAGGACACACTTCAACTTCAAAATCGATTATGGAAAAAATGCCCTAGAAAATGGGAAAAGATCAGGTTATTGGTGACTCCGGTAAGGCCTTTGGGTCGAGATTCATGGGTGATGCCACTGTTGAAAGTGAAAAAAAGTTACGGGAGTTGATATAGAGCAAAAGAGAAAAAGTAGAAGGATTTCTTCATCATTTTCTTTTGCTTTCAGCAAATCAGATTGATGACTTTTTTTTCAATTTTTTGTTGTTCATCTTTTTTTCTAATACATATGGGTTTGAGTTTTTAATGTATATAGTTGTATTTGTTTCTTAAATTAATGTATAATGTATTTATTTCAATATTATGATACATTATAATTTTATCGAGAGTTGGTGGTGGCTCCAGTAAGGGTTTTGGGTCGAGATCCATAGGTAACACCATTGTTGAAAGTGAAAAAAAGCTACAAGAGTTGATATATAGCAAAGGAGAAAGTGTGGAAAGATTTCTTCATCATTTTTTTTTTATTGTAGTTAATCAAATTATTGATTTTTATTTTTATTTTTATTTTTTGTTGCTTTCACCGATCTTTTAATGTATCTAGTTGATTTTGATTCTTAAATTAATGTATAATTCGTTCGTTTCACCTTTATGATATATTACAATTTTATCATGTGCAATATATCGTTTTCAAATATTAGTTTTGATACATAACCCTAATTTATTGAAACATAATTTAGTATGTACAATGCTCATAGTTATGTATTGGATAGACAACTATTAAAAATTCTATTATCTTTTACTACCGATACATACACCCAACCTTAATCAACTAGTAGAAAACTATGTAGTTGTAGACACTATCAAATATTACTGTTGATACATAAACACTGATGTTTTATAACAAAATATGTTTTATCATATTCATAGTTATGTATATGATATATAACGTAACTTTGTTATGTACATAACATAGTTTTGTATCAGATGTTGTGATGTATCACATGTTGTTAAGTATCTGCAACATTATTTTATCATATTCGTAGTTTTTTTGTATATGATACATAACTATATAAAATTATCAATTTTTAAAAAATCTGTTATGATTTGGGAGAGATTTGAGAGAAGAAAATTTAAATTTGAATTGTTTGGAGATGTTATTTGGAAGAGATTGACATCAATTTGATTTGCATGATTTGGGGACTAACACTTAATTTTATATTTAATTTCCTTTTTAATCTCAACAAACTATTTGTATAATTTATCAAATGTGATGTATCTGGAAGAATGAGATGTATCTGAATGACATCAATTTTAGGGGATTTTTGTAAATTGAAAAGAATAGAGATAGGATATATTTTCTCCTTACACTATGAGATTCCTAAATTTTTTACTAATAATAATTATAATGGAATAAAGAAAAGTGGGCATAGCCCATTATCTTAATTAGTTGCATCACGTTTAGTCATAAAAGTACTACCAAATTAGGGCAATTCTCAAGTATTTTGGGAAGAAATTATGTAACTTCAAAGGAGAAGTTTAGCGCTCATAGATAGCAATTCAACAGTCAAGAATTTATAACAACTAGGCATTTGGAAGTTATGTTATGTCTTCAATTATATAGTATAACTATATGGCGATGTGTGTTGTTGAAAAGAGGTAGTAATAATAATAGTTAAGTAATTGATCAATGATAAGATGAAAACTTGGGAAAATAATAATAATATAGAATTGTTTAGTGAATTGGTGAAGAACTTATCGAATGTGTAAACAAATAATAGGCAACAAGCAATCTTCAGTGCATGATTGAAATTTATGCTATATACCCAGAAAAGGCAACTGAAAATTTGCTACTGCTTTCTTAGGATCACTTGCTAAGAATCATCTCATTACTCATCATACAATTTATAAAAAAAATTGTAATCAAGCTTTGCGAGCTGTGTTGGATGAATTGCACGAGGCTGTTATTGATTCAAAAGTGATTTGAATTTACGAGAGCATACTATTTGATCTATCGAAAAGGGTGTATGGATTGAGAACTTGATGTAAGTGAGTCTTTAAGATTTAGTTCTTGCTTTTCAAACCTACTTTAAAAATATTGTTTATCTGTCTGGTCCATGTGTTGGGACAAACATGTGGTTGGCAGAATTGTAGTCTTTAATTAGCTATTCAAATGTTATTTTTTGAAGAATACTAAATATTTTTTATAAGTGATATTGGTGTGATGTTGGATATTCTATCTTCAGTTTCGTGTAGTTACTAGGGGCATACATAGCTGTTGTAATATGTTAGAGGTATACTTATGATGTCGTAATATGTTAGGGGCCTTGTACATGCTGTTGTAGTATACTTTGGGGCACTATATACGTTGTCGTGGACTTGTCGGGGTGCTACACTACTCTCCTTCACTATCGTTTATGACAATCTTTGAGTGTGGATTGAGTTTGAGACATTTAGTGTCCTTTTTGCATATTTGTTTGGACTTACTAATCATTATATTATGCAACAAATTCGTGTTCATATCATTATGTGTTTGTTGTGGAGATATATTTTCTAGCACTTGTTTCAGGGGTATTAAAGTAGCGGGTCGAGGATCTTACTAGGTTATTATTTATGTATATCTCACTCCTTACATGCATGCTTATGAAGATACCATTACACATGGTGAGACTAGTGGCTGGCGAGTTCATTCACGTGGATTCTGTTACTGAGGTAAGCCTTCACATTGTTCGTGGAGGCTAGTGCTTCAACTCTATCTATTTATAGCTTATGACTTCTTTTCTTGGGGTTTGCACGCCCGACAATTGAACTCATGTAACTCTAATAGATGCTCTATGGTCTTATTGGAGGATTTGGGTTAGAGATATATTATTTAAGTGATCTTTTCCTTTCATTGATCGATATACGATTTTAGTTGGATCATTATTTTGTTTTAATGAGTATTGATGTGTTTTGAAGTTGCACATGTTTTATCTTGTGCTTAAATGATTTGGTATGGTTATTTGGTACACTCGACGGGTGGTGTAAGTGGGTGTCAGTCACGGCTAGGGGGTAGTTTGGGATGTGACAACTAGTAGTATTATTATAGTTCTTGTTTTTTATATTTATCTTTATTTATTATTATTTTTAATAATCTATCCTACTACGTTGTTTATTATGTTTTGATTATTGCACTATTATGTTGTTGTTTTTGCTCCTTCTGGTAGACTTTGCACTGTTTACTTGTTACTTGCTATATTTTCTTTATTGTCTCATTCTTTGATCCTGAATTTGTTGCACTTGAGCATTAGTTCTAGCTATCGCTCCAAAGTGATAGCGCCATCGAAAGATAGTGTGTCAACCAATCAAACTTCGATACCTAAATTCATTCATCCAAAGACTTTTCCATTTCAAGATCCATGCCTTCGAAAAACAACCTCTCTACCTCCATAAGTTAGTGGTAAAATATGCATACATTCTACCCTCTCTGCACCCCATTTGTGAAATTTCACTGGATATGTTATTATTGTTGTTGATAGTGACACATCATCACCAAAGAGAAAACAAAACAAGTGTTGCAGGCTTGTTGCCTATGAACTCAGAAAAAATATGAAATGACAATCAAGCTCTTAAGGGGATGTTTGATAGTTGATTAGAGTTATGCAGGTGTTAGTAATGCATGAATTAGTTATGAAAAAAGTGATGTATTATTTTATAGATGAATTAATTATGCAGGGATTAGTTATTCATGTATTACGTATTTATAAATTAATTATTCCATATTCCATCTTCTATCTAGCATAAAATTATACATAGATCCTCTCATAATTATACATGTATTAGTTATGCTGATTTCCAAATTGCAAATCAAATAACGTATTAGTTTTATACATAGTCCTAACCAACTACCAAATATGGTACTCCCTCTGTCACAGTTTATATGACTTAGTTTGACTTGACACAGAGTTTAAGAAACAAAAAAACACTTTTGAAACTTGTGATCTAAAATAAATTATAGATATGGCATGACTATAAGTTTTTAAAATTATTACTTCCTCTGTCCCGTTTTATATAAGTTAGTTTGACTTGACACAAAGTTTAAGAAAGAAAGAAAAACTTTTGAAACTTGTGGTCTAAGATAAATCATAGATATGGCGTGACTATAGGTTTTTTAAATTATTACTTCGTCCGTCCCATTTTATATAAGTTAGTTTGACTTGACACAAAGTTTAAGAAAGACAGAATTTTTTTTGAAACTTGTGGTATAAATTAAGTGAAAGATGTTTGTTTGACTAAAAACGAAAGTGAATTATATAAACTGAGACAAAGAAAGTACTAATACATATGTAAATCATAATACATGTATAATATTTCTCGTAACCAACTACCCAACAACCCCCTAGTGCCTAAACAAGCATGACCATAAAACAAGCAACTCAAGCACCTAACTGTTGCCTATTATATCAGAACAACAAATCAAATGAAGATACTAAAAATTGAAGATTTATATGAAAAAGGCAAGAGGTGGGACCAATGTTCAATTTTTGATTTTCCAACAATACCCTTGGACAAAAGCAGTAAAAAAGAAATAGAGGTATGAGTGTTGAGAACAAGATTCCAGCACAACCACATTCTAATGGCTACTTCACTTCAAAATTTGGTACCACCATTTTCTTGCCGGCGTCCGAGCGATACATCCCCTTCTACTCCTATCGCCATTTTTCGAGGAGGGAGAAGAAGAAATGCAAGAAAGACGTTGAGGGTCTGTAGAGCTATGGTTGAGAAGACAGTACAAGGGGCTTCTTCTACTTTTGCTAAGGAAATGGAAAGGCTTTCAGCTAAGGAGTCTCTGCTTCTTGCAGTCAGTCCTTATCTCTTTTTACTCCAATTTATTTGTTTTTTCTTTTCTGTATGAACCAATACAAGAATCCATGGTTTGCCTATTTAAATTTAACTAACTCATTAAAATTGTGGAAATGTTCACAATTTCATCAACATTTGCCTTTTCATCTTTTCAAATTAATTTTGGGAATATACAGTGGACCATCAGTCCATACCTAGATTCTTCACCCCCTGTACCAGTTGGTGTCTCACAACATGGTTTTGAGTTCATTTTCTTAACATTGTATTATTGCCAGAGTCATTCCTGCTCTTTTGGTTTACTGAATGTTGACCCCCATGTTCTGTTGTCCACGCTTTAGATATCCAGCCCTACATGTGAGGGGAGTGTTAGAGTGTCTCGCATTAGTTATGCGAATGAGTTGTTGTCTACTTATATGTTTTTGGGGGAAGGCATTCCTCACCTCGTGAGCTAACTTTTTGAATTGAATTACGCTTAAGGTCTATATTCTTAACAGTTGTTATGTTTATGTTTGAGTTGCTTGTTTTAACTTAAGAGTAGTTTGTAAATCCAACTTGTACTAGGTAATCATAGGTATCTTTTGGGATTCTCATGGACATTCTCTGTGCCACTTGTAAATTCTTGTCATGTCTACTTCTTATTTAATGGCCCATTCTTTTTGATCGACTTAAATGGTAGAATTCACAACAGTACATAAACAAAAGAACTAAAAGTAAAATCAAGAATGGTGGTGTAGACTGACAGAAGAGATCTATTCTCTTTGTTTCATTTTACTTTACACTATTTCTTTTTTAGTATGTTAAACAAGAATGACATCTTTCTATTTTTATGGAGAAATGTCATTCATGATGTTAAAGAATGACAAAAGTCCCACATCGGTGGTTAATGAGATGGGTGGACTCCTTATAAGGCTTAGGCAATCCTCCTCCCTTTGAGCTAGCTTTTGGGGTGTGAGTCAGGCCTAAGACCTAATTTAACATGGTATCAAAGCAGGGCCCGTCTCACCCGATGTTGGGGCCCCCAAAATCAAAATTGCCCACGCACCAGATGCTAAGCACTGGGCGTGAGGTGGGGTGTTAAAGAATGACAAAAGTCCCACATCGGTGGTTAATGAGATGGGTGGACTCCTTATAAGGCTTAGGCAATCCTCCTCCCTTTGAGCTAGTTTTTGGGGTGTGAGTCAGGCCTAAGACCTAATTTAACACATGACAAGTATGGTCAAGATGACTTGTGGTGTTCAAAGGTGGTTGTGATCCCCCATGGTGTAGGAGTTTGGAAAGCAATCAGATCCCTTTGGTCTTTGATGGCTGGAAAAATTAGTTTTAAGAGTGGGCAATGGAAGGAAAATTCTTTTTTGGGTTGATAATTGACTTGGGCATGGACCTCTAAAGGAAGTCTTCCCTGAATTCTTTAGCATTGCCACTATGCCAGACATTAATCTGGAATCAGCAAAAGGAGTACAACGATGGAATTTACTGTTAGAAGGCTACTGCATGATTGGGAGCTGGAAAGAGTTGTTGAATTTTTCAAAACCTTGAAATCATTCCAAGGGTTCAAAGATATTGAAGACTCACTTATATGGAAGCCCACCGGTAAAGGAACTAATTCTGTTAACTCAGCTTATAGCATTCTGATTAGGCACAGACAGTCAACTAATCAGTGGCCATGGAGATCCATTTGGAAGATGAAGGCTCCTTTTAAGGTGGTATGCTTTTCTTGGCTAGTAGCAAGAAATGATTGCCTCACACAGGATAAACTTCAAAGAAGGGGATTCCAACTGTGTTCTAGATGCTTTTTGTGCGGAGCTGCTAGGGAAAATAATAGTCACCTATTCATTCATTGTCTTGTTACTGGACAATTATGGCAACTATTCTTGAACATGGTAGGAATCAGATGATCAATGCCAGCAACGAGTGCTGATTTACTGAAATGTTGGAACCAGAATGATGGGGCAGTTAGTCTGAAAAATTAGTGGAAACTTGTCCCTGCTTGCATATGGTTAGACCATTTAGAAGGAGAGGAACTATAGAACTTTTGAAAGAAAAATACAATTTTGTGGAGAAAATCAAGATGAACTGTATACTTTTGTTTTATTTTTGGTGTAAAGAAAGCTATGCTAAGGAGGCTGAATCACTAGTTGATATGATATGATTCTTGTGAAGCAGTAGCCTAAGCTTGGTTGGGTTGTAAAGTCTTTTTGCACTGTCATGGTGCAACTTTTGATATATATATATATATATATATATATATATTGACGTTACCAGTTTCAAAAAACACACACATTTAACTTTAAACTTCTCATTTACCCTAAATAACATGATTTTGTAGCCACATAGATGTCATGACATGTTTAAGGCCACATGTTCCATAACTCTTTTCTTTTATAAATTTCATGTACAGGTTCACATAAAATAAGGTGGGTATTATATATACTCTTGTCTCTTTACATTTTTCCTGCAATTCATAATTTTCCTTTGTTTAATTTCTTTCATTGTTTCTCTATGATTGACTCATCAAAGAATCGGCCTTGGGTAAACTAAATGTTCTTATATATCCCATTTCAATTTAAGAAAAGGCTCAGGGAATGGTGGAAAGAGTGTCACGGGAGATACAAAGTTGTGCAGGTCTGCAGGAGGGTTAACTTGATGGGGCCGGGAGGTTTAGAGAACAATATTATTGATGATATTGCAATGGTTATTTTCAAGAAATCGCACTTCTGTTCTTTCTTTGTGTCCCTTAAGCACTAAAAGAAATTAATTACTCTGTTATAGTTCAAAGATGCAGGTGGATTTGAAGCATTGGTCACTGGGAAGACAACAGATGTACAATGCATTGATGTGAATGAGAGGATCATTAGTCTCGAGAAGCTCAATCCGACGCCTCGTCCCTCAACGTAAGGTGTTAAATCTTACCAACAAACTTAATTTTTAAGATTCTTGACAAGGTACTCATTGGTGGTTTCATTTCCCAGGTCTCCCAATTTGGAAGGACGATGGAATTTTGAGTGGTTTGGAGCTGGTAGCCCAGTTCTTCTTTTTGCCAAATTTTTGTTTGGGTAAGTTCTATTTTTTGGGATAACATTCACTTTTATTTTTCCTATTCCAACTTACATAAACTCATTAGTGTATGAACTAAGTAAATGAAATGAAGTAGTTGTGCAAATAATGAATCAATTGTACGTGGAGTAGTTTATCCTTTTTCTGAAACCTGCATTGTGCTACTAATAAACAATTGTCATACTGGAGATCAAATGGAGACCATTTCTTGAAGACTAACAATTTAGAGAAGAAAGTTTGAACCATAGGTATGATGGTTGCCTTCCATTATCTAAAGTGCATGCTGAATGTTTAAACATCTAATCATTCCCTTCCATACCTTTGCACCAGTGGCAAATTAAGTGATAGTTGAGTGGGGAAATTGCACCTACTGAAATTTGATATAATTGTTTCTATTTCTGCAGAACAGTACATAGGTTGTACTGAAACCCGTATTTACATAAGGAAACTCTAATAATACCGACCTATCCCTATAATGAGTCTAAGACATCAATGATAGAGACTGTATCATTAGAGTAAATTTGATTACACCAAAAACACAGAGTCGAAATGCAATTCAGTTTAACTTGTTGCATACTACTCTCCCTATTCTCAAAAACTCTAAGGTTCCTCTCTTTCTATATTGTCCACCAAATAGTGGCAGGGACAATTCTCCAGTTACTTCTGTTTTTTGCTTGTGTCCCTGCTTCTTCCCAGCTAAATAGAGCCTCTGAAATTCTCCCAGGCATGGACCAGGAGATGCTTTTATGTCTCAGGAACAGATTCCACAACTGGCCAGCGTAAACAAATGATTGACTGTTTCTGCAGTTTTCCCACAGAAAAAACATCTAGAGCAAAGTGTAATTCCCCTCTTCATTAAATTCTCCTGTGTCAATACTGCTTCTTTAGCCAATAACCACACAAAGCAAGACACCTTGTAGGGGATCTTGGCTTTCCATATATGTTTCCAGGGCCACTTGAGTAGCTGCAGATTTGGATGATTCAACTTCTTGTACACTGCACATTTGATATAATTATGCTATATGCCAGAGCTTTTGCTTAGAATTTCTAATCTTTTCCATTTTGAACCTGATAATTTCCTAGAAGTAGTCAGAAATTGGTAGAATAGTTTTATCTGAGGCTGAAATTTGATAGAATTACACTATATGCCTGAGCTTTTGCTTAGAACTTTGAATCTTTTCCATCTTTAAACCTGATAATTTCCTAGAAGAAGTCAGATATTGGTAGAATAGTTTTTTCTGAGGTGTCCTGCATAAGGGAAAAAAGTAAAATGCTAAAAGAAATGCTTTTAGGTTCTTTCATCCAACTAGAGGGCCCTTCCTTTATCTTTTCATTTTCTTTCTTTCATTTCCGATGACACAAAATATTTGAATTACTTTTTTTTTTACATGCACTTGTTTTTAAGCTTAGAAGTCACAGCTAGCCCACAAAGTTGCTTGTCAGGGCCACTTTATAAAATCAACAAAATTGCTTGTCAGCAATCTTCTGGCTATCTAAGATAAAAATAAAATTTATGATTTGTTTTGTGTGAATGTACTATGAATAGTTAGAAAGTTAAGCCAAGATGGGAGATTTATTCATATTACTTGTATTAGTGGGAAGATGTGTGTACCCAGTGAAATAGTTGATATACGTGTAAGCTTGTTCGGATACTATGGTTATTCCCCAAAAAAATAAAAAATCGGACAAAGTGACGAGATGAATCACTCTTTTAGTCCACCAAACTAGATAAAGGTAAAGGAATAATCTTTGCTCTCACTGGGAAAAAAAGTCTGATTGGGAAGAAAAGGTATGGTAATAAGAAAATAGGTCCAACCTTTTTAAGGAATGCAACTGATTTTATGACATTGAATTTTGAAATTTGGCGAATGACCAAACTAAACCCCCATTCATGGAGGCCAATTTCTTCCCTTCAGTTAGGTTTTTACTATTCTAGTACATTATTGTCTTCTAGGTATTTGCATGATTTTTCTTTTGAAGGAAAGACAATACATTTACCATAATTGGTTGAAAGTTCCTTCCCAAAAATTGAAAGTAAAGATCTTTCATATTTAGTGAATCTTTTTCTTGGAGAAAATAATTTTGGACCTCTATAGATTGTGGTTCTTTCCTTCTCACTTGGTAGCATCCACAATGCAAATTTTATCTAGAGTTTTTGGGGAGAAAATTTGTGAAACACAAGTTTCTATTTTGAAACTAGTAATGTTGTATTCCTCAACATTAAGGACGTGTTGGAAACCTTCAAAAAGGAGAAAACAGTAATAAAAGTATTCCTTACAAAAATCCTAACAAATCTACAAGCTGCTTTGATTCCTCTATACCTTTCTCTTTACACCAAAAATAAAATAATACAGGACAATTCCATTTGACTTTCTGAAAGAAATTGTACCTATCTTCAAAGTATCTACTATTCCTCTCACTCCAAATAGTCCGCTTGATGCAATGTAGAATTATCCTCCACCATTTCTTCTGGCTCTTGTTACCTCCTCTTCTGATCCAACAACTCAACAAATCTACAATCTGCGTAGGCATGGTCCACTTTGTCGTTGTGAGACTGAGTCCATATCTCTGTTGTATATGTGCAGTGCAAAAATAGGTGTCTGTCTGCGTCTCTGCATAGTATGTATCTGGATACAATATTTAACCCCTTTCTCTTCAAACCTTCATGTGTCAAGCAATATCTCTTAGCTACCAACCATGTAAAGCATTTTACCTTAGTTGATGCTAGGTTTTTCCAAATATTCCTCCACACTTTTTGACGGTCTCTAGCTTGCTGAACATTTCTTTTTTATAAGCCCTGTTTACGGTTAATATCACATCCTAACTGTATTTCCACCTCAAAAATGTCAGAATCAGAAGTGGTACCTTTGGAATCCTTTATCCCTATAAGAAAATTGGCCACTCTATCCACCTTCCAGTCATTCAATAACTTCCTAAAGGATAAGTTCCATCCTTGTGGAGTCCAACATTAATTCATAGTAGCCTCAGGCAGTGTTTTGGAGAGCGAGAAGCGGAAAAAAGCGACGAGGGCTTGCTTCACTGAAGCGTGAAGCGAAGCACACGGTTTTTTCTACTAAAGCGTTATTTAGTACAAAAATAAAAAATATTAAATTTGCATATATAAATAACCAAGAACTCAACAGAAATAACATATTAAGCAAATCTTTCAGTTCTTAAATTAAAAAGTAAATAAAAGATGGTCAATAATCCTCATAATCATAACATATTAAGCAAATGCAAACAACAAAACCAAATAAGCAAAACAGCAGAGCATAACAGGGGAAATAAAACCCTAGAAGTAGTCGCTGAAAGCCTGGAAGAGAGTCCAGAGAAGAAGATGAAAAGAGAGGAGGAACTTATCATTTGAGTTGCAGCAACAGATGTTGAGATGTTTGAGCCACAGAAGAAGAAGAAGAGGGAAATGTTTTGAGTCCCAGCAGACAAGTGTGTTATACAGAAGTTAAAAAAAAAAAAAAAAAAAAAAACCTAACCACGCTTTTTGTCATCTTTGCTTTAAGTGTGCTTCTCACTTCGCCTACTGAAGCACTCGCTTTTTTAGCAGCTCCTCGCTTCAGAGCATAAAAGCGCAGTGCTTGCACCTCGCCTCGTTTCACGCTTTAAGCGCGCTTTTTGTCGCTTTTCACAACACCCTCAGGATTATATAAGGATAAGTTCCATCCTTGTGGAGTCCAACATTAATTCATAGTAGCCTCAGGATTATTGCACAAGATAAACAGATCAGGAAAGGATTCCTTTAGAGGAGTCTGTTCATTCCAAGCATCCCTCCAAAATATTATTATTCTATCATCTCCCACTTTAACTTACATGTTCACTTCTAACTTGGGCTACAAAGCTCTGATAGTTCTCCATACCCCAACACTGTAGGTACTGGAGCTCTTATTGCTGCACCAAGGGCTGGACTCACCAAATTTGCATTTAATAACATCCTTCCATAAGGCTTGTCCCTGTCCTTTGTATCTCCATAGACACTTCAACAGTTCCTGATGCCCAAACCCCCCCCCCCCCCCCCCAAATCTTTGCTAAGTTGTGCTATCTCCCATTTAACCGAACTAGTTTTGGGAACGTACGATGCACGTTTGTCCCCTACTCCCCTACTACTGTAAAAAAATTGGACAACGAGTGAAAGATATATGGTGCTTTCCAAATAGAAACAACTCTAACACAATAAGTTAACTAAGATACATCGAGCCTTACAGCACGCCTCACGGGAAACCTAAGCTTGAATTACAATTTCAGGAATAAATATGGAGAAACAAAAACTGACCTGAAAAATGTTCTCAGGCACAATTCCCCAAAACTCTCTCTCCTACTTTCTAGGTGAGAGAGTACCCTCTTTTCGGTAGGTCGCCTGAGAACTACCAACCTCATCCTTCCCCTCAGCTATCTCCTTCTGCGATAGCTTTCTCTCTCCCTTTACCTCAGTTCCCTTCCACAGACATGGAGGAAAATATGATTTATTTCCACGCCGGTTTCAAGTCATTCAATATTCGGTTTCAAGTCATTCAAATTACCAGATGGACATTTCAAGTCTGGCGAGGAAGTCTGGTTTGATTGGGTGGAGCGTAGTAGAAACATGATGAGAAGAATAAATCTCAACAAAAAAGTGATGGAGTGGATTTGTTTTGTCCTGAAAGAAGCCTCAAACGACAACAAGAATCTTGTGAGGAGATGGAGAATGAACTATGAAGGACCAAATAGCAAAGTATTTTAGTACAAGGAAGTTTAATGCCCACGGAAGACTACTCTTCGAGGATCGAGGCCATGAGCATATCATTGGATATACAGAAGTTGATTGGGCAGGATCACCCTTTGTTAGATTTTCTATATCCGGATATTGTGTTTTAGTAGGAGTGTCCTAGAAGAGTAAGAAACAAAGTGTGGTTGATCTAGTGCAAAAGTAGATTATTGAGCAATGGTTATAGCAAGTTGTGAGCTAATTAAGATTAAATAGTTGTTGAGAGAACCAAAATTTAGGAGATCTATCAGATGGAACTTGTGTGTGATAGCCAAATGTCCCTTCATATCGCATCAAATCTGGTATTTCATCAGAGGACTAAGCACATTGACTCTCACTTTGTCAGAGAAAAGATAATCTCGGGAGATATTGTTACAAAATTTGTGAAGTCGAGTGATTAGTTTGCAAATATCTTCACCAAGGCCCTCACCGGTCATCGTATTAGTTACATCTGTAACAAGGTCGGTACATATGACTTGTATGCACCAACTTGAAGGGAGTGTTAAAATTAGAATAGGAAAAAGAATAGAAATAGTATATGGAATCCTAATTGGTAAGGATTGCAATGTAGTGTCTATAAATAAGGCATAGTGCAATAATGTAGAGACATAACTCAATAATATATTTCTCACAGGCACCTTACTTAATAGGCCTGAGCATGCATGCTTGTTCACTTTTAGTCAATATGCTAATTTCAGTTGATATCTTCTTAACATTGAGGTGAATGATCGTAGTTTTGCTTTGAGTTTAGTTCGATGAATGTCAGTTTATAATATTTCTACCGGAAACATGCTGTTGCAGGAGAATTCCTCCAACGTTGGCAAATTTATCAAAATTGGATGTGCTGATCAAGGATGGATGTGGGACTGCTACCGCACAAGTCAAAATACTAAATTCGGTAATTTATCTTTGTCAGGAAATTTGATATGTACATCCCATGCTCTAGTATGTAGAAAGTAATCTTCCTCTTCTAGTTATAGAGTTGGAAATAAAACAATCCTATTGTTTATGTTATCTACAAACACAAGTCATTTGATTCACAAACTAGTCATGCAGGGCAATAACATAGGGATCGTCATGCGGTGAATCATAGTATAGTGATTTTCTCACAGTAAGTAATAATCTATGGACTGTTATACAATGAATAATAACATAAGGATTGTCTACTTCAACAGCGGTTTTATCCCTAGATACTTTTTATCCAGGTATTGCTAATACAGAATTGCCATTCTACGAAATCTCCTCCACGAGATTATAAATAGATTCCTGCATAAATTTGCCGTATTTGTATTTTTTATTTTTTGATAACCAAATTTTCTGTTTTTGTACTTAATAGTGCAAGCTGAATCCTGCCTTAGTTATGTAGAGTTTGTACTTTGTACCGGAAACTAAATGTTATATTAGTTATGCAGAGATTATATCAATAACACAGAGTTATGTGTTGCTAATCACTTTTATATTAGTTATGAGAAATTGAGATTATTACTCTTTATGTGGTCAATCAAATTCCCATGATGTGATATAAGTGGTCAGCACCAAATATCTTGCTTTCTTCCTCCTTTAATGCCTCACATTTGGTTGATAATTGGTACACCAAAAGACACATTGACGGCAAGTGACGTTTTGGTCATGTTACCGAGAAAAATAGGTGGGACGAGATAACAAGCGCTAGATGCATAGCTTGATACTTTGACATTATTACAATACCAACTTACTGAAACATAAGAAAACAGCTTAATAACAGAAACTTAGTAATTATGTTAGAACATGAATAGGTTTATACAATCTATTAGAATAGGAATAGGTTTATACAATCTTATTAGAATACGAATAGTTTATACAATCCTATTTAGAATAGGAACAGGAATACAAATAGAAATAGGAATAGTAAATAGTATCCTACTTGGTAAAAGATTGTATTCTAGGGTCTATAAATAGGGTCTCAATGTAATAATGTAGACACAACAACAATTCAGTAATATTCTTTTCCTATATTTCTCACATGGGAAGGAAGGACCCTGGAAGACTAAGGAAGTGACATCCACATATGGAACCAGTTTGTGGAGATCAATTAGAAACTTATGGCATGGTTTCTATGCAAAAACTGAATGTAATGTGAACAATGGGAGGAAGATCAGGTTTTGGGAAGGTAACTGGTTAGGGAATGGAAGCCTCAAACGCTTGTTCCCAGATATTCATCACCTGAACCAACAACAAGAGTCGACTCTTTATGAAGTTTGGTCTGAACATGGATGGAACCTTACCTACAGAAGACTGATGCAAGACTGGGAGGTGGAAAGATTGGCTGAATTTTATGGAACACTTGATCAGTTCTTAGGATTCAAGGAAGGAGAAGACACTCTTAAATGGAAATGTCATAATAAAGGTTTATTCACTGTTAGTTCTGCATATAGAAATATGAATCAGATGGGATCCCAAGTTAACTTTCTGCCTTGGAAGCTTATATGGAAGGTTAAAATACCATATAAAGTGGTAGTTTTTACTTGGTTGGTGGTGAAAGAGGTTGTACTTACACAAGAGGATCTTATGAAGAGGGGAATACAAATGTGCCCAAGATGTTTTTGTGAGCAGGTTGCAAAGACAATTAATCATCTGTTCTTGCATTCTTGCATTGTAAAGTGGTTGGCCAGTTGTGAAATTTGTTTACTAGCTTTAGAGGTATAAGTTGGACTGTTCCAGGGAGAACAGGACAGGCTCTAGAAAGCTGGAATATGGAGGGCAGTGGCAGCACAGACAAGAGTAGATGGAAAATTGTCCCAACTGTTATTTGGTGGACCGTATGGAAAGAAAGGAATTCTAGGAATTTTGATAACAAGAGCATCCCTCTGCACAAGATTAAAATGAACTGCATTATCACTTTTTGCTATTGGTGTAGTTCAGAGTATATAGCTGACCCTGTGGCTATTGTAGACATTCTAGGGTCCTTATAAAGGTGAAAGGAGGATCTAGGGATAGTTCTCTTTTTTCTTCTTTCTTTTCTTTATCTTTTGTTTATGCCCGACACACGTGTGGAGGGAGGATATGATTTAAATTTTTGGATACCAGCTTTGAGCTGATGATTGATATACAAATGTTACCTTTATCAAAAAAAAAAAGAATAGGAATAGGTTTATACAATCTTATTAGAATAGGAATAGTTTATACAATCCTATTTAGAAAAGGAATAGGAATACAAATAGAAATAGGAATAGTAAATAGTATCCTACTTGGGAAAAGATTGTATTCTAGGGTCTATAAATAGGGTCTTAACGTAATAATGTAGACACAACAACAATTCAATAATATTCTTTTCCTATATTTCTCACAGAGGCTATTAACTGGCTAACAAGGTGGCGACAGTTTTACATTTACGTATCACTTTTTAAAATCCTTATTTTATAAGGCTATGTCTGTTTGGTATCTTGAATATCCTTTTGCAGCAGAAAGTAAAGCTTAGGGGAATAAAGCTGAAAGGGAATGATATAGGAAAAGCTTGGCTTTATGGGGACTACCATTATATGCTTAGCTTAACTGACTAGGAATTAGGTTCACAAACAAGGTACGTGCTTATTTGATCTCCAAATTTACAGAAGTCTCTGTTCTTCAGTGTTTAGATCAACTGTTCTCAGACTTCATTTAAATTAAGAATTTTATGAATTTTGTGTAGCTAAAGATTTCCACAGCCAATGAAGTATCAAGATAGCTGCAATAACAGTATTGCAATTCAAAACACAACAACAATAACATACCCTGTGAAATCCCACAAATTGAGGTTGTGGAGGGTAGAGTGTATGTAGACCTTATCCCTAACTCGTGGTGGTAGAGAGGCTATTTCCGAAAGACCCTACGGCTCAAGTGAAGCAGAACAAAGTAGTAAAGAAAAGGATAAACAACATTGTAGAAAACATGGCAACTAATAGGAAAGGAGTGCAGAGCATAAACATTAACAAAATAGTGCTATCACCTAAACATAATAAACAATAGATAGTAACACATAACAAAAGCAAGAAACTACATGAATAAGACTATTACTATGACAAACATGGTGTCCCAGACTACCACCAAACCTAATTCCGTCGAAAATCAAGACAACATTCAACTACCTACTAACCTTCTACCCTAATCTGCGACATCCATACCCTCGTATCCAAGGTCATGTCCTCGGCAAGCTAAAGCTCCGTCATGTCCTGTATAATCACAATCTCCTCAATACTTCTTCAGCCTACCCTCTACCTCTCCTCGTACCCACTGTATCCAACCTCCTCACTAGGCATCTTCACATCTCCTCTTCATATGCCCAAACCATCTTAGTCTCCCTTCCTCATCTTGTCCACCATAGAGGTCACTCCCACCTCTTCCCGGATATTCTCATTCCCAATGTTATTGCTCCTAGTATGCCCACACTTAAAATGTTATTTTAGTTACAAGCTCAAATTCTAGACTTGCATACAGTTTTCAAAAGGAAGGGAAATAAATTCAACATCAATAATACCAGATATTATTATCATAAGGAGGAGAAGATGAACAAAATGCTAGGTCTTAATAAGCTCTAAATGAAAAACATTTGTTCTTATGACGGCGGTAACAATGCTAGCTTGTTCCACCTCGACTATTTCACCAGGTATCTACTACCTTCAACCAGAAGGTATCTGGTAATTCCTGCTCACCAATGCTTAGACAAATAAGAAGAGATCACCTCATTGTTTCGGAAACTCTAAATGAGAAGTGTTTTAATAAGGTAGGGTCAACATTACTTAATATTCTTATTTTAATGAAGCAAACGTGAATTTGGGCCTGATTATGTGTTGATTCTTGTTTTATACTCAGTTTGAAACTTAGAGGCTCATGCTCAGTTGCCTCGTAATCACTTACACCTTGGCCACTGTTTCTTCAGGCTGGTAATTGGTTCTAGGCTGGTCAATATCAGTTGAGTCGTATTCTTGATATTGAGTCTTACACAAGGACTCAAGGTCTTGCATCTTTCAATTTATTGGTTGAGATGTTGTGAAATGTTAATGAATTTATTAGTATATCTGATCACATGTATCTGAAGAGGTGAAAATACTTTCTTGTGAAATGCAGATTGAGAATAAATTTATCATCTCCACCAAGTATAGTGTTGAAGGGCCTCTTCGTATGAAAGAAGAGTATGTTGAAGGGGCATTTGAATCTCCAAAGGTCAATGAGGAAGCTGTACCTGAACAACTAAAAGGTGCTTTTGGCCAGGCATTTAATACTCTGCAACAACTTCCTGTCCCCATTAGAGATGCTGTGTCCAGTGGCATGAAAGTTCCCCTTAGTAAGATTTCAGTATTTTTCAATATACTCGATGCAAATATATTGTATCTATGGTGTACAAATATTGTTGAAGTATTGAGATATTTACTTACTCTTTTCTAGTATGATAACCTAGTAGCACTTTGTTGGCTTTTTAAAAGATAGTGCCATAAAAAGGGTTTTAAATGGTCTCTCAATAATTTTATTAAGCACAGGAGGACTTGAAATTAAACACACAAAATCTGCATAATTTACAACATACCTAGTGTAATATCACAAAGTGAGATCTGGGGAGGGTAGAGTCTACGGAGACCATACTCCTACCTCAAAGGTAGAGAGGTTGTTTTCGATAGACTCTCGGCTCAATAAAAAAAATAACAAATAGTAATGGCAGTACAAGAACCAACAGATAGTAACAAAAATAATAGATTATAAAAGAATAATACCACAAAAAAGTAATACAACAGACGAAGTACAAGAAACAAATATCTCAATAACCTAATTTATCGTAAAGAAATTCAAATTTAAATAAAGTAGACTACTGCTGCAACTAAACTGTTTATTATTCAAATTAGCAGTAACAGAGGTAATTTTCAACACTTTAAATGTCTGTCAATTCTGTTTGAAACCTCTATGATGTGCTGGCTATTTGAAGCTTCTCAATCGTGTCAAATCTTCAAAATGTTCAAATCTAGCATTGGTGAGAGCAATTCAAAGTTAATTTTCTGCCTGATCTGTCCTTCAAGCAAGATTTGTTTTAGGTTATTTTGATTCTTTGATCTTATTCAGCTTATATTCTCATTTGCATCAGCCTCTGCCTTTTGAGAACTCGTTTGTACTTCAGCACATTAATGTTGCTTGAACTGCCATATTACATCTATTTTGGTTACTTGTGCTTCTCAAAGGCTTCTTGTTTTTAGTTCCTAGGACATATCCTGATGTCTTAAAAAACAAAGAAGAAACTAAAGTAGATAAGAAAGATAGAAGCTTGAAGATTTATGATATTGCTACTGTTTAGGCATTTAATGTTGCTTCTCACTCTGGGCTGTTACGATATCAGGCGGGACCTTCCAGAGACTTATTCTGATTTCTTACCTTGATGACGAGATCCTGGTGAGTCCTCTCACTATATTCTTTTTCTTTCTAAGAGGCACCGTTACTTTTATTTTTCATACACCGTTAGTATATAGCACCACAATATCTTCACACAAGTGCTGGAAATTGTTTTAAGTAACCTTTTAGCTTTCACTAGATTCATATTGAGATTACTTTTATAACATAGATTTTCTGAACTTCATATATTATAACATAAAGGAAAATTGGTATTGATTCTAAATTCTGTAGAATTTGTAAGTTATTATTTATAGAGCTGAGATTGTTGTGCCTTCGAATGCTTACAAAGAAACTATGAATCAAGCATTGCTGCTATTACAAGATCCAAAGTTAGTTCGATGAATTGAACCTTGATTTTTTTAACATGCTCTACTAATCTGCTGGTTGGGTGCAGATCATAAGGAATACTGCAGGAGAACCTGAGGTTCTAACAAGGTTGGAGGCAGGACCTGATCCTCAAAATATAACCGAATATGAGAGTTAAGTGACTGTAGGCACATTTTGCATGAAAAAACCAACTTTGTTTTTACTATTACTTCACATTTCTATGTAACATAACATAAATAATACATTGGCAATATCTCGCATATAAAAAATTTCTCACTGCTTAACACCCACATCGATGAGCAACGAACATGAGCTCACCCATTGTGGAAAGAATTGGTAAAAACTTGCCATGGTTTTGTGAATGAGTCTTCTTGAGGCAAAAGAAGTGGTTGTCAGAGTTGGTATTAAATATATCCATCGTCCGTTGGTATGGTTTTTTTTCTTTGTGATTTGGCTAACATTTGTTACTACAACCTCAGATCAGATTAACTCATTTGAATTAGCTGATCTTTATAAGATATAATATTTGACAGACTGGTTGGAAAGGAGTGAGAAAAGAATTATTGATAGATAGATTGTACTATTTGGTCAAAATGAAAAAATAGCCTCAAAGATTAAAACTTCTGAATCTGAATGATTTAAGATAACATAAACGCTAAATGATTAATAATCGTTTGTTTTTCTCAACATCTGAATGTTCATAGGTTATTTATATTAAACACAATAAATTTAAATAAAAATTATACTAAAAGATATCACAAAAACTTTTATATGGACAAAAGAAAATAGACATTAGAGAAATCATTAATTTAGACAAATAAAATAGACATAAAATGTATCTTTTTAGAATTGTGTATACATACATGAAGCTCTTTTGCGCTGTAATAAAGCTATCAAAATTTATGCAACAAACTTTACTAGTTCATGGTAATAAAAAGTGATGAGACTTTACTGTGAAACCGGCAAGTTAATAAGAAGTATTGAGATTTTGCCAGATCTAAGGAACAAATTTAAATAGAGATCTATAGTTGGAGAAAGAGAAAGAAACGTGAAAAATTGTCGAGAGAATAAACCATAATTTCAGTGAAAAATAGTATTATTAAAAGAGTTTGAATGATATTAAGATTCCGGCACATATCTTATTCATTAAGACATATTACGTTCCATTAAGAGATTTTAAATTTTAAAAAAGAAACATATTTAATAGGCTAAGATGTGAATCATTCAAACTCAAACCTTAGGCTTAATTTCTAGATTGCAGCTTAGGAGTGCGGTTGTGAATTAAGAAAAGGGGGAAAAAGTTCAAGGTGAAATTAGAACTCTGTGCCACTTGGATGTAGAATAAAGTTGCAACTATTTATAAAAAGTTGTAACAAATTCATTGATCACTTTGTCAAGTACAAAAAAATTTGTTTCATTATAAATAATTGGAAATAGGGTTTGATATATTCCTCAACTTTGCAATTTAGAGTTGATATACTCATTATAAAAATGATTCACATTGGCATGACCCAACTACCGAGCCAGGCGGGCACCTACTCTAACACCTAGATAGGTGAACTCTTACCACCCGACTTGAAACAGGTACCGTGGAAGAAAATCAAAACATGAGCTAGCTCTTTAAATGTCATGATTCAAAGTACACTCAAAGGTGACATGACAAATAGAATCTCGACAAACCCTAATCAAGTCACTTGACATAAGTATGACATAATAAAATACAATTAAGGAGATATAATCGATATAAGTCTCAAATCATAAGTTGACATAAACGATATCAACATAGTATATAAGAAAGACACGGAATACTGCCAAGTCTGACATGAGCCTTTCTAACATCATAGGAGTGGTTGTGACGTAACCAATACACCACGTACCAGTCTGAAACAAAAATGACCATAAAATCAATAAGTAATGTCTGTGGTTTTTCCCTCGAACCATGAGGACTCACCAATCAAATGATCCAAGTTGAGCAATCCCGATCTAAGCACGGCCGGGAGGAGGAGAGTCAAACCCTATAATATGAGACAATATAGGCCCAAACATGCATTAGTACTATGAATGTACTAAGTATGGAGAAATGCATAAGATGTAGGCATGATGATGTGAGGAACTTTAAACATGATATACATGACCAAGTAAAACGTAATAAAGCCTTTAAAGAGGAATCTTGATTCATACACACTTGGAAACCATTTGAAAAGCTTACGTAAAATCTTTAAAGAAAACATATTTCATTTGTGGAATATTTATTGTTAACCGAATATAAGACCATATAAGTTATACTATGGAACTAGGTATGACCCTCACACCGAAAATGGGAGTCTCGAAATGGAATTTCGTTAGTTCCATCAGTTCTGAAAGGTAGAAATTTATCCAGGAGAGTCATTGGTTTTAGGTTCAGGGTTGTTTTGAGGATTTGAGCCTTTGAGTTGAAAGCTTGGGTGATTTTAAACTAAGAGTTGACTTTGGTCAACATTCGAAGTTCAGATGCTCAAATCGGATATCGATGATTCCATTAGATTTGGGGGATGATTTTAGGCCTATGTGAAGTCTTGGTTGATTTTTCGGAAGTTCCAAGGGTAGTTTGGTCTTTTTGAGCATTAAGTTTGTATATTGAGACTTTCACGAGTTTTAGATGAAGGAGACCTCAGATTCATATTTTGATGTTTCAATTAAGTTGAGAACGAGTTTAGTTGGGTAGCATAATTGGTTTGTGTGCATGGGATTCCGAATGAATCTTGAGGGTCCATTTAGAGATTTCCTTTGTGTTGTAATGTTGGAAAATCATCACAATGAGAAATGTGATGATATATTGTCTCGCCCACGCTTCCAAAATTATTCTATACCTTGTCGGGATATAGAACATCCCAACTAAGTGGACCCACTAAAGCTCTGCTCGAAAGCAATAAGGAGTCGTCTAAAAAGTACGATCATTTACCCATGTTGGCTACATGATTTCTGAGGAATGTGAGTTGTCTGAACTCATCCCCATATCGGTTCTCAATGCTTCTCCCAATAAATATATATATATATATATATATATATATATATATATATATATATATTCTCAAATGTATAAAACATACTCTTTCTCAATTTGAGGTAATTGCTCAAAATATCCTCTTAAAAGAGGTAGCTACTCTGAAATATCTTTGAACTCATTGATTCATTTATAAATCAAAACTTCTCTTTTCTCAATGTAAAAAGTGATATATTTGGGAATACGTAGTTCCTTTATATTCTTACTCAAGTCATGTTTAAAACTCTTTCTCAAAACTCATCTTTTCTTTCTCAGAAAATCAGTTTAAGACAAAAATGTTTACTTAAAAGGATTCTCAATACTAACTATGTAATAACTCGATAATAACTCAACAATAGGGTTCATGCTGAAAAATAGACATGAGCAATCAACTCAAGAATCTCAATGCAAGATATAACAACTCAATAATCAGAAAATAGAATTCAGAACTAAATAATAATACTCATCTCAAGAATTATCAAAACTAAGGATGTAACCCAAGATTATTCTTTACTGATAGGAAGTAGATGTAGGGCGTGATGACACTCAGTCCATCACTATGAGTAGCCTTACATACATGGAAGAACAAATGTCACGCCTAGAGGCTACCCCCATAGACGTAACACAGGATCTAGGATCACAAGTGACCCCAAGCTAACCCTGAGTCTGGCATATCACAAGCATACTGAAATATAACTAAGAAAGCGGAAGTATAACTGTAAAGTGAGTCACAACTAAAAGAAACTCAAGTGAGAATATAACTGAATGTCAAAGGGGAAACAACCCAAAATAACTGAATACTGACTCTATGTCTAAAAGCCTCTACTACTGATGAGTTGTCCCAGCTAACTCTAAAAATACTGAAAGACTGATAATAAGCTAACTAAAACAAAAGCTAGATGCAATGACCAAGTACTAATCATGAAGATAACATGTTGTATTGAATATTGAAGTAAATGTTGATAACATGGTCAATGCAATAAGAGTATGACTGTGAGAACTACTATTAACTGACATAAACCACGTGAGCTAATCGTGGAGTCCGATGTATACACCCTATTGAGAGGACTCAATATACCTTGTCAGGGGTATAGAGGCATGACTATTGTGTGATCACTAAAACTGATGCCCAACATAGGGGACTTCTGAACCTACGTTGGCTTGTAGTTCTAAGGATGTGAGGGTACTGAACCCTAGTCCAACTCGGTGCTAAGTCTACTCCAAACAAAATATATATAGCTAAAATGCAACTGAATTACTGAGTAGCTCAAAATACTGACATGCTATCTGAAAATACAACATAAATATACTGAAATAAATGGCATTCGAGTTCTGAAGCATGATTTTCTGAATTTTCTACCTAGTAAGTATAATTCATGAGTACTGATAATTTATACAAGCTAGGGTTTTGAATTCTATACATGGAACTATGTAAATTTTCCAATAAACATGTTATTTAGAATCGTGGAACTATAATAGTTAAAGTCACAATAAATCTCCAAGATTTTGGAAACCCTGGGTATGAACAATTTATGAGAAATTAAAGAACTGGCTGAATTCTAGGGACCTATGGGTGAAAGGAACCCACTAGTGAAATCCCACATACCTGGTGACGAAAACTATGGAGAAATCCTTTGGATTTTGAGGTTGAATTTGAAGAAGACCTCTGCTTGTTCTTGGGAAAATTGTCGCCTCTTTTCTCTTCTTTTCATTCTAAGTTAGATGATTTTAGGAGAATGAGGGTTCTGAGTAGTGTCTGACTAGATTATTAGGCTTAGACTGAGTAAAACAACATAGTTTATGCATTAAACGATGTAGTTTAAGTACCAAAGGCCTAAGGGATAAAACCAATGCGACCCTGACTTAAAAGCTAATGAAGTGACTTCAAGACAGGCTTCACAGGTTATCTAGATCACCATGGCCCATCAAGCGGGTCGTGAAGATGTTCTGCCCAATAAGGCTTTTCTATTTCGAGCATAAATTTTTACTTTGAGCTTAGAATTAGGCAAACTTGGTGGCCTTGGAAAGATGATTCAAAGATCTTTAATTTGATAGGTCATGGTCCACCAAATTCATTTTGTGCTTAAATATGTAATCGTTTGAAGTTTCCCCAATAGTCAAGACTTGACTTGGGTGCAACCTCCTTGACTAGGAGACTTGTACGGACCCCTAAACAGGCCGTCCAAGTCACCACAGGCCGTCTAGGGCACATCTAGATGACCCCTCCCAGAG